AGCCAGTGCCAGGATCTCCTTTGTGATGCCACTGTGTGTATCCAGCCTCTGTTTAAGTCCCTCCAGCGACAGGGACTCTGCGACTTCATGCATTTTTAAGGGTAAATTATACACCTAAAAGGTGAAAGTAAAGGTTCTTGTAACATGTCATCAGCTAGAAATGCTTCCTAGGGTCTAGCCAGGTGTGAACCCATCTTGTGTCTCCTGTGACCATCTTATGGTCATCGTGTGCCATGTGTGTGCTCATTGCTTAGGCAAAGTGTCCTCAGAGTGTCCCGACTTCTAGTGATGATTGCCTACACAGCGTACAGATGTCCTCCAGCTGTGAAGGCCAAGCACCCACCCCCTCTAGGAAGCAGAGCTGCACTATCAAGTTAGGAATACCCTTCTTCACAGTCTGCAAAGGACGGCACTGAAACCAGACCTCCATCTAGTTAACTCTGATTTGCTGACCATATTTTTTAACCAAATATATGGGCACATGGTTTGACATACTTCTTTACCTGATATGTGGCTATGTATGAAAAGTCTCCCAGGTTAGGAAGAACACTATTAAAACTTAATGTTGCCCTGGCTGGGTAGTTCAGTTGGTTAGAGTGTCGTCCTGATACGCCAAGGTTGGGGTTCAATACCCGGTCAGGGTGCATACAAAAAGCAAGCAGTGATGCATAAATAAGTGGATCAACAAATTAACGTTTCTCTCGCAAATCAACAAATATTTTACAATCCTTCAGTCAGGTCACCTGTTCCATATAAGTGACGATTTCTCCCTAGCAGTCCAGCTGGCGTCGTCCTGCAGTGCACCGTCCTGGCATAGTGGTGAGGACGGGGCACAGGTGAGAACTGACTGACCTGTTTTCCTGTAGCCTTAGCTGCTTGACAACTTCTATGCTTTCCTTAGAACAAAAATGAGGGGAGGTTAGAAATATTGTAACTGAGTCCTGAACCAGAAGTGGCCACAGTATTGCAAAGTTTGTGTTGGGGAACAATAGAAATTTGAGTATATAAAGAATTTGGACTTTGAGGAATTCAGTTGTCCATAGAGTAACGGGTGGATTGCATGAGAGAAAGCAAGGAGGCCAGTCTGCGGCCGCGGCCATGGCCCAGGCTTTTGGCGTGACATTCAGCACGCCAGCTGTGCCAACGCCCATCAGAACAGAAAATGAGCAGGTGAGCCCGGGCGCCAAAAGATAGGGAAGCGTGGGGTCAGTAACTTCGTACAGAGGGGGAATCATGACTGACTCTAAGAGAACCTGGATGATTGGAGACTGGTGCAGCAAAGTACTGTTTTGGAGAAAGATTAGTCCAGTTTTCTATCTCTCAAATTTGAGGTTGATCTGATACTCAGAACACTTTTGGTCTGAAAGTGTAGATAAATGACCTGTAGAGGTTTTATTTACAATTATTAATAGATGAGCTCCTTAGGGGATTAAGTGTAGCAGGAGAGCAAGTCGAGTTCATGTTGCTGTTATAACTAAGATGGAGCCATTGGAAATGTCTTCCCATTGATTCTTTTTAGAATTCCTTAAAAGATCAGTACTTTTACTTACTACTTTCTTGAAGTGTTCCTGGTAGAAAATGTTTAATTTATTCAAAGTCCTCTGCTTTGTATCAAAAATTATTTAAAACAGGTGTCTTGATTTTTGTTTCTCCAGGTTTTTAATAGGTTTAATGTGGACCATTATAAGTATATAAAGTATTACAAACAACCCTTAATTTGTAGATGTGTGTCAAATATATTTAAAATCTAATGTACTTGGAAGAATTAACCTGTTTAAAACCATAGGCTGATATGCTTTTTATAGGGCATATCCTCCCACATTTTTAAACAGGTTTTCATTTAAATATTTTCTATAGTACTTCTTTGATAAAGGAAAGTTTAGAGTAGAACATATCATTTTGAAGCTACATGACATTCATTCTTGGAAATGGCATGATAAGTGCTATATATTTTAATTTACATTTTTTATAAGGTGTTTGGTTATTTTCTTTCTTGTGTGCAAGTATCTTTACATTCAATAATACTTTTTTGAAATATGGCCTACATGAGTCTTGAATACCATCCCTTCTACCATTTTCTTAGTGTCAAGAACTCAGTATTTTCTGTGCTTGCAAAACAATATTTCCTCAATTTTCTTGCCATTTTGTAAAATCACTTTCTTTACTTTGTAATTTTGAGGATATTTTTGTTCCCGCATGGTTTTTTATTGGGCCAACGAAACATTCCTTTTTTTCTACCAGCCAGGCCAATTTTAACCTAAAATCTGGAGGAATGATTTAGGATGATCTGACTGAAAATATTGGCATTGTTATGTATATAATATTTGCTTTAGTGCAGTTATCTTCCCAGGCCTTTGAAATGGGGGTACTGCGGTCTGAGGTCCATGTGACTGCTGACTGGGGAGACAGCCCACATTTTCAGGTGCAGTGGGCAGAGAAAACAGTGGCTTCCAGAATTACAGGAGATGCTTTGAAATCAAGGTGTTGCTGTGTAAATGTTCCATTTCTCCAAAGGCAACTCCAGTAGCTCGGCCGAGCAGGAGCAGAGATTTCATTATTTAATGATAATGGATATTGATTCTCCCAAGCAATAGCTGGGAAACCCCGCTAGTGAGTACGTGAGCAGGGCAGGGTCTTGTTAGTATGTAATGAAATCTAGGAGCAGGGAACAGATGGGGAAGATTGAGTGTCCCTGGGGGAGATCTCAGAGAGGGAGTGGGCTGAGCTGTTTACTTGGCAGGATCTGTAGAGTAAGTACGGCGTGGCCTCGGCGAACAAGCAGTGCCTGGAAGCCCTGAGCCCGGCGCCCATATGGTGTGAAGGCAGGATGACCACCAGACAGGGATGCGCTGGGAAGCGGGGGCAGGTGGACAGGGGCCGCGGGCGAGGCACTTTGCACAGCCTTGAGAGCCACGCAGGAGGGGAAAGGGTCCGTGTGCAGGGGATGCACGCCTCTTCCCCGCCCCTGCACACGTGCCCGCAAACCCGCGCACATGCACACACAGCCCTTCTCTCACCAGAGGGTTAGAATTCATTTAATCACCTGACCTCGCTCACCCTGTTTTTGTATGCTTTGTTGGTACATGCTACATACATAACTGTATATGCTTTAAATGTGTATTCACTTCTCTTAGTTCCAGAATTTGATTACCATGTTTAGAAAGCAGCAGTGATTGCTGAAGTACTAGTAAAAGCCCTCTATATGGCTCCAGTAGATCCTCTGAGATTTAACACTCAGGCTGGGTGTGTCGGGCCTTTCTAGTTGCCCTGGACCTCACGCTCAGACAGAACCCACTCTTAGTTACATGCCCTGCTGTCACCATCTTGAAATTTTAATAATTTCTGGGCAAGGTTCCCCACATTTTCATTTTGCACTGGGCTCTGCAAATTCTGTAGCCAGTTTACCAACAAGTACTTAATAACTGTCAATCCTAAACTAAAGGATATAGGATTCTGGTTTTTAGTGAAAAATCTAATGTCAGCAGCTCAGTAGAAAACCATTAAGTATAATGGTTGAGAGGAATTACTTTGGAGTTGGGAGCACCTGGTTTGACCCAGCTCTGGCCCAGCTGGTGCTGAGACCTAGGTGTGTGCCTTAACCTCTGTGACACTCAGTGTCCTCATTCATAAAGTAAATGTAACAATTGTACTTTTGCCCTGGCTGGTGTGGCTCAGTTAGTTGGAGCATCAGCCCGTGCACCGGAGGGTCGCAGGTTCAATTCCTGGTCAGGGCACATACTTGGGTTGCGGGTTCGATCTCCGGTAGGTAGAGGCGCATATCGGAGGCAACCAACTGATGTTTCTCTCTCTCCCTCTCCCTTCCTCTCTAAAATCAATTTAAAAAAAAACATTAAAAAAATAAGTAAATAATAGTACATTTACCAAGAAGTATGTACAAGAATGTTCTTAACAGGATAACCTGTGAAAGTCCCAAACTGAAAACAATTAAATGCCTGTCTATAGTGGAACTAATAAATAGTAACGAATTAATACAATGGAATATGCTATAACAGTGAGAAGGAACGAACTACAACTGCCAGCAACAAGTGGGTGAAACAAACACGTTGAGAAAAAGAAAGCTGGCATAAAGGAATATAATTCCATTTATCTAAAGTCAAACAGACGAAACTAATCTGTGCTGTTAAAGCTGGGTGTTGAGCGTGCTCAGGATGGGTAGTGGCCAGAGGGGACGAAAGCTCCTGGGGCCCCGGTGCTGTTTCCCGCTGCCGTCCCCGTTCGCCTTGCGGAGGTCGGCCGGCTGGACGGCGCCCCGCACCTTCCGTGACAGTCACACTTAAGAAAACGGTCTCGCCACTCAGTTACTGTGGAAGTTAAAGAAACAACTGGAATCCTTCAAGATGCTTCAAGAAGTCCACAGACTACAGGTTCAGTCCTTCCATTAAATGGTTGTGAACTGTTACAGAAGAATCGGGGCACAGTTTTGACGAGTGTCTTGATGGCCACGTGTACCTTTTTTTTTATGCTCACCCAAGGGCATGTTGTCATTGATTTGAGAGACAGAGAGAAACATCCTGTATGTGCCCGGACCAGGGATCAAACCCTCAACCTTTTGGTGTGGGGGACAATGCTCCAGCCAACCAAGCCACCCAGCCAGGACCTCTTCCTTTTCAATGGTCTTTTGTAAGGCTTTAAACACCTTTTTTTTTTTTTTTCAATATGTCTTTATTGATTTCAGAGAGAGAAAGGGAGAGGGAGAGAGAGAAACATCAGTAAGAGTCACTGATTGGCTGCCTCCTGCACGCCCCCTACTGGGGATTGAACCTGCAACCCGGCATGTGCCCCGACCAGGAATCAAACCGTGATCTACTGGATCCTAGGTCGATGCTCAGCCCCTGAGCCACACTGGCTGGGCCGGACTGAACGCCTTTTAAACGACACCTTTGGTAACCACAGGTGAGCTCTCTGACCCTCTTAAGTTTTCTTGCCCTCAAGTACATCTAATAGTTTTTATTGAATAGCAAAGTGGAATTAAGCCCACGCTCACCTTTATGTGAAGAGCTGAACTATAAACCCCCTCTCCGTTAAGAGGTGTGCCCACGGACTATGGCATGTTCTCTTAGGTGGTCACTTCAGGTACTGTTATCTAAATCTATTTGTTTGAAAGCTACATTTTAGTTGTCATTTTATTCTTCGCCAGCACTATTTTTTAAGTTTTGCTTTCATTTGGTCTTGAAGACATTCTGTTCATTTGTTTACTTCATGTATATTTTCTCTTTTGTTGTTTTTGTTTTAGGTGACTATGAAAGGCTTATATTTTCAACAGAGTTCTACAAATGAAGAAATAACATTTATATTTCAAGAAAGGGTAAGCAAAATTGTCTCGTCATTAAATGAAACAAGATAAGTATATTTACCCAGATTTAAATGATCTGTTAGTGGAACGTAAATGAAACTACAAATTACTTTCCTTTAATCTTATGTTACAGTGGTGGTCAATTCTGTAATATAACTATATTTTTAAATGAGTTCCCCCGGGGTGGTGGTACAAAGATACTAGGAAAACAGAACCAATTGTCTTAAATGTTGCAAAATTAACTCAACTTACTTTGAATACCACAATGCAGTGAATTTCCAGGTTGTAGCCATATTGCAGAAAATACGTTCTCTCGAATTGTGCAGTGAGGGGAAGCACTGTTCTCCACGCTGATTTCGGAGCTTTGCGGAGTTGCCGTGTTCACTGAGCTTTCAGCGATTTCTAGTTTGGGCCTCTTTAAGCATGGCCAGTGGAATTTTCATACATTGGTGACTGGTTGAAAGGTCTGTGGCAAGCCCAAATCATTCCAGTGGTAACAGCCAAGCTGTCTGAGATTTCGACTCCTGACCAACATGATTTTGGAGTTAGTGAAAGATAACAGAGGAAACTAGGTTGTGTTCATGATCCAGAAACTGATTACACGGTGAAATATATAACTGTGACATACTGTACAAATAGCACTTGGTTTTCATCCCTAAAGTTAGCTATAAGATTTGGGGCCCATTAAATTGTGTTCAGTTTTGTATGAAAATTTTCCAACATAAAGGCCTGGTCTCAAAGGAATGTGTAACATTTTGTTTTCGCTTGGTTCTAGGAAAATCTTCCTGTTACAGAGGATAACTATGTGAAACTTCAAGTTAAAGCTTGTGCTCTGAGCCACATAAATACAAAGGTATTGGTGCTTTTATTTGAGCCAAAAGTCAAATGAGAGTCATAGTATATTTAGTTTCCAAGTATAATGATAGCTGACTTCTGAGTACCAAAAAATTATTATCACTCTTAGAAGAACAGAATACTAGGGAAAAAGTTTAATGTGAATTTGTATATTTCCATATTAAATTATTAGTCTAATTGAAGTCATGCATTTTATATTACTATAGGAAAATACCTGTAAAGTCCTTTACATTGCGAAAGATTGAGAATTTATAATTACTAAGGCCTATAATCAAGGAAGAAAATACTTTTATAAATGTAGTAAAAATATAGAAATCTAATCAACTAATTTATTAACTGTCTATTCTATAGATATTTCTAGGTAATGCCTGTAGATAGAGCTCATGTTCTTCTTGTCATTTCTTGTTGTCTTTCTCTCTCGTGCATACACATCCCAGCCTCTCACTACCCCCGCAGTAACCATCCGTTATTGACCATGAAACACATGGGAAGTTTTCAAATGGTAAACTGTGGTTAAATGTGATACGATAGCTCAGCTGGCGTGGCTCAGCGGCTGAGCGTCGACCTAGGATCCAGGAGATCGCTGTTCGAGTCCTGGTCGGGGCACAGGCCTGGGTTGCAGGCTCCATCCCCAGTAGGGGGTGTGCAGGAGGCAGCTGGTCAATGACTCTCTCATCATTGATGTTTTTATCTGTCTTCCTCTCCCTTCCACTCTCTGAAATCAATAGACATTTAAAAAAAAAAGTGCTATGATAAATATAGTAGGTCCATTTACTCAGTTTTGTAAAAATTAATACCATAGTTTTATTGGCCCCTTAAATTATTGCCTGGATTATAACATTACCATAATTTCTAAGAATCTAAAGATTTTCTGCAGTAAAGTCACATTTAGGGAAATTACAGAGCAAAGTCATAGGCTTCCATTGGGCAACTCTATACCATGAGCATGACTTGAGAAGTGAACTAGTGAGATGCTGTACAGTCCTTTCACCAGGAATAGTGGTACTACTCATTGTCTGCAGGGTTCTGTGCTCAGCCCTTTCAAGGTGTTCTTTTTAAACCTATGAAAAATTTATTAAAATCCCAGGCTAGGGAAAAAAAGACAAACAGGGCTTCTATCACAATCTCTATATAACATTGTTGGGTATCCTGGAGGCCCTAGATGGTGCAACAAAGCAAGAAAAAGAAATAAAAGATACAGCAATTGGAAAAGAGAAAAAAAATCCCAGTCTAGGAAATTATCTCATGTCGAATAGAAATAGTAAATTATAGTAAAATCAATTCAATGAAATATTGCACAACTATTAAACAGTTTCGAAAATGGGTAAGATGTATGACAGTGCTTATGGTAAGTGAAGGAGGAAGGATGCAATTGCTGTAACCATGATTATAGCTCTGAGGAAGTGTGCATAAAAGGAATAATGTAAAGCATCCAGTATTCTGTGTGTCAAAGTTCCACACTGAAAGAGATTTTTCTGGCAATCAGGTATATATAGATCTTATATAGATCTAAATATTGAAAAATAAAAATATATACAAGGGAATTACTTCAATTTCTTTTTACTTACTGTTCCTAAAATACTGTGGTACTACAAATATGTTTCATGTCTCTAGTATTATTGTAAAAGTGTAAATGGCAGGAGCTTAAACTATAGGCTTAGTTGTATATACTCTGTCACTTCAAAAGCCAAGTGCTTAATTTGTCCAGAATATAACAAAGCACTCATCTTTGAAAAATAAATGATTTATTCTTTAAAAAAAGAAATTCCAATTTGAAGTTACATGGCAATTTTTCTATGTATATCCATCACCTCTTCCCACCTGCTCCTTAACCCAAGACTTGCGAGGAACATGCAGATGATTTTTGAGGGTGTGGGAACGGAGAGCCTTTGTTCTCATGAGCCATACCCCTTAATTCAACACCCTCCCCAAACGGCCCCTCACCCATCTAATGAGTTGGCTGGTAAACTTGGGTCATAAATTATGGTAAACTTGGGCCATAATTTCCCTTCATACTTGGCAGAGGAAAGATGTTAGAGTATGTTAATGATGATTTTGAATGGAAACAATACTCATCCCTAAGTCCTGCGTATCACCTAATTCTTCTCCAGAGAAACCTGCCTTGTGAAGGTATTGCTTTGTCTTTCTTCCAGCAACTGAGTCATATTTGCTGTCTTGTGGTTTGATTTGTGCCCTTGCCTTCCTCTGTGTAAGAAGCCAGGATTGTTTTTGACAATAAACAGCCTTTGTCATGATTTAGCTTCTGGCAGAAATGAAGATGGAGAAGGATTTCTTTCCTGTTGGGAGAGAAATTGCTGGCATCGTGTTAGATGGTAAGTTTTCAGATGTAAATATCTGTATTTTCTAAAGTAAAAGAATTACGTGGGCCTGGCAGGGCGTGGCTCAGCGGTTGAGCATCGACCCAGGATCCAGGGGATCGCGGTTTGATTCCCGGTCAGGGCACATGCCCGGGTTGCGGGCTCCATCCCCAGTCAGGGGCGTGCAGGAGGCAGCCGGTCAATGACTCTCATCATTGATGTTTTTCTATCTCTCTCTCTCTCTCTCTCTCCCTTCCTCTCTCTGAAATCAATAAAGACATGTTAAAAAAAAAAAAGAATTACATGATAGCCAATTGGGTACTGGCCGATGAAATCACACACTCCTCTTCAAATACGGAATTTAATTCTACAGAAATGTTTTCCTTTTATAAGTTAAAAAAAAAATAGAACTTATGTTTTATAATTAAAGAGCTTATTATACTTTAGTAAATATTTAGGGATTATGTATTTCAATCTGTGAGTAATCACATTGACTCGAATGACCAATGTTGTTTACAAACCAGCATAAATTACTTCTGTGTGTTGGCCCTGGGCCAAAAGTTACATTCACATTAAATTTTAAAGTTTGCATGAAATTGAGCATTTAAAAGTTAAGCAGTTTGCTAATCTAAAAATGGGTTTGGGGAGAAATAACCAGTAAGATTTTTTGATTCCCTTAAGTCAAAAAATTTTTTTAAATCTTATTTAGTAAATAATGTTTTTAACATGCAGGACAGTAAGCTAAGTACTTGAAATAATTTGATTCTGAATAGACCGCCTATTCATATTCACTGCTGCGAGGCAGCTGTGATCAGTGAGTGTGCGCTGCTCCGTCTGCACACGTGAGTGAGCAAGTGGGCAGTAATGTAACAGGTTAGACTGTTTGAGTTTTGCCTATAATTTTAACCCATAATATATTTGATATTCTTTCTCAGTGTAATCTTCTAATATAGCTAAATCATAATTTCATTCTTCTACTCACACTGTTAGAAAATAAAAATACAAATTATAATGTACAGATGAGTAATTTATTTATTCATTTATTCCATACTTAATGAGCACTTGCTAAGTGCTTGGTATATGAAGGTAAATAAGATAAAGTCCCTGCCCTCAAAGTGTTCGTAATCTAGGGCAGAGATGGATGCACGCGCGAGTGGAGTGTTGTGAAAGCCCTGAGGACACATGCCCAACCTGGCAAGAAGAAACAGGAAGGATTCTTGAGTTAGTGGGACATTAAGGGACAGGCAGGAGGAGAGTCACTCAGCTGGAGGGTGTCCTGAGCAAAGGCATAGAAGCAAGTAATGTGATGTATGTAGGAATTAAATAAAGGAATTACACAGTTTGGTGTTGGGGGTAAGATACTTGGCACAGAGAAACATTTTGTCAGGGAAATTCTACATCAACCATAGAAAAATAAAAGATAGTGAACCAAGTACTTTAATGATGATATGAGCACTGACTCCTTTCCCCCCAAAATAAGACAGGCCCTGCCCTAGCCAGTTTGGCTCAGTGGTTAGAGTGCTGGCCTGCAGACTGAAGGGTCCCAGGTTCGATTCCAGCCAAGGGCACACACCACAGTTGCAGGGAGGCAACCAATTGGTGTGACTCTCACATCGATGTTTCTCTCTCTCTCCCCCGACACCCCCTTCCACTCTCTGAAAAGCAATGGAAAAAAATGTCCTGAGGGAGGGGAGGGGG